CTTAGATTTTTATCCTTGTTCATTTCATTCTTCTAAATAAAACGTTGAATTTCTATACGGTAAATATGAGTCTGTGTGTAAAAGGGCTCTAATGAAGCCATTCTATTGCCATTATCTAATAACTTAATATTTCAATCGCTTTTGATAATTTGTTGAGTCCTGCACGTACTTCAATCCGTTACCAGACATATAGTTGGTGCTATGTTATATAGAAAATATTTTGTTTCCTTTGTCTTTTATGAATTACTAAAAAATACTGGTATACTGAATTAGCATTGATCATCTGGATTTCTCTATGTCCACATAGAACATGAAGAAGGCAAATAGTATCAGTATGCATAGCGTGTGCTTTTCTAGTATTACACTCATCCATCTGTGTTCAACAGACATATATAGCTAAACATTTATTGACATTGAAATGAATATAGTATGAAAATTAACTATGCATCTATTTTTACAGGTTTATTTGCTATGACTGAGAAAAGACTTCAAAATAGCAAGCTTCATAATTGGGTGATGTGCCCTACATGTCGGCAGCATACTGATTTTGGAAACATTGCCTATGCTGTTGACTCACAGAATGAATCTTCCAATCTTTCAGTGCTGCATACAATTAACAGCAGTGAAAAATGTGAAGCATCCATTAGTGTCAAAGGATCATATGGGACTAAGGTTTTTTTCTGCACAAGCTCTTAAATTCTATTGATACCCTTAAGATAGACAGCATAATTGCTTTCTACAAGTACACATGCCACTACACAGCATACACTTTGTTTTCTTAATTCTGAACTTTCGTGGATTTTTACTTTTTTGCACTGGATATTTACTTGTCATTGATAGGTACCCAAATTTATTTAAAACTGTAAAGATTTCCAAAACAGGTTCTTGGATGTTCACCCAGAAAAAACCAGACAACTTTATTAACAATGAAATAAGCATAGTAATCTAAACTGTTACACTAGACCTGGTCTTTTGAGAGGACCATACTCTCCCTAGCCTTCCTTTTACAAAACTTCCTAAAAACTACCAAAAACAACTGTCGACACAAACTTTATGTTAGGTTCCTGGGTTGGAAACCTAACTATCAACGCTCACAGTAAACAAAAGAACAAAGAAAGAATGAATTTTTGTATTGAAATTGAGAACAGAGTACATTGATAGCGTTAATGGAGGCCTAATCACCCTCTTAACCCTATCAGAGGCCTAATCCCCCTCTTCTGGCCAATGTCCAGATTTAAAATAATATTCGAAAAAACTCCCCTCACAGAATGACCAAAAGGCTTATTTATAATGTCTTTCTCCCCCTAACAGACTAACAAACTATCCCGCTCTTTACTTCTATCCTAAACCCATTACCCATTATACCCTGCCACCCCATATCCTAACACTTTATAATAGTCTAAGACAACAAAACCTATCCACAAACCGTTATAACTGTTTGTCCCTTTTATTTCTCCTAATATAAACATTTCCCTTGAACCTAACAATACCCCCTCCATGAAATTTAACCTTGTCCTCAAGGTGAAAAGCAGGAAACTCTTTATTGATGGCAGTAACATCTTCCTAGCTGTTTTCAATGGGTGGGATGTGTTTTCAACTGTTACTGCCTTCTTTTTTCCTTATTTTATAAACTGTATCAAACCTATCAACACTCCCTCCATGAAGGTGCACCTTATCCTTAAGGTGAAAGTCTGGAACTTCTTTATGAATGCAGGCAGCAGATTCCCCTGACTCCTGAATTTCCTATTCCGAAGTAAACAGGATATGGAGCTGTTTATTTTTGCAAGTATGATTAGGCCCAAACTTTTCATCACACTTGAAGCACAAGCCCTTTTTTATTTTATCTTGCAATTCTTCTTGGGACAATTTTTTAAATGGAGCCCCTCCTTGTTGAGTCCCAACAGGAGAACTATTGATAGTGCTCACACAGCCTTGAAACAATGATAAATGATAACTTTTTGTATCTAAACTGTCAATTTGATATCCTGATATAACTTGAGGAAAGAAGTAACTTGCTCATTACTGTAAACAGGAAAGAATTTGTTTAAAGAAAAAAAATTCTTGATGAAATGAGATTTTATTTTTGACATTTTTTTTCAAAATTGAGAAAAATAAATATTTCATGCCATGGAAACCATGGCAAACGCATCATAAGTGAGTCTGTCTATGAACAGAATCTGATTACAAATTTGTGCTTGATACATATGCTAATAACCGGTTTTTTATCTTTAAATTTGTGATAATACATATTATAAATTGCTAAATAACTGATATGAATATCAATTGTTTGAAGTATAGTTTATCATACTATGTTAGGAGGATTATGATCAATCTAATAAGTTTTATTTGGTCACAAAGTGTTTGTTTTGTGGTGTCTGTTACAATTTTGATATTGGCAAAGGGTTTAGGAAAATAGTCTATCATCGTAGAGACAGGGATACCATTCAAAGACTATTTACAAAAGAAGACTTTTTAAGATTGTTTTTAAAATTTAAATATCCATTAGAAATGTGTCTAACATTTCTCAAAATATACTGTTGCTACATTTTACAGTGTAATTTTGCTTGCTTTAGAAAATAAGACATGCCTTGGCATATTTGATTTATACCATATCCCTTGTGCCCTCTAACTCTTGTATTCCTCATATTTTTCTGTAGATTGAAGCAGTCACAAGAAGAATCTTGTGGGTAAAGGCTAATGATCATAAAGCAAAAGTTCTTGTATTTTCAAGTTGGAATGATGTACTTGATGTATTGGAGCATTCCTTTACTGCCAATAACATTACCTTCATCCGGATGAAGGGGGGCAGGTATGATAATCTGTACAGTTACTATTTCTCCATTTATTTGTGTTTTTATGCTGGGCTATTAGATATTCATTTGGGGGTAAAATAAAATACCAGATAGGAAAAGAGAAGATTATGACTAAGATCCTATTGTGGTCCCGCACATTTATTTTCTCCCCAACACATTCCTAACTTTTTCTACCTTTTTTCATTTTGGGCTCACAAGGGTGTAATTTTCTTCAACTTGGTCTAGTTGTGTTGGATCTTAGATTCAACATACAAAACATGTCTCCCAACTATTAGAAGATTGAATTAGATTAAGTTGGATTGAATCGGATTGAGCTGTGGTTATCTCACCCAGTGAATAACCCTAGTATAGTCCATAAAATTGGTTCAGAGGATTATTTCTTATGGAACCACCTAGGATTTGCTTTAGTTAATAAGAATGGCTGATGATCTGCTACTTGGACAATCAGCCTATGTCAACTTTCTTATACTGATGTTATTTTGGTTATGAATTTGAGTTCAGAAAAGCACATGTTGCCATCAGTCAATTTAGAGGAAAACAGAATGATACAAAAGGATGTGAGGGGTCAACACCAGAATCTATTCAGGTGTTGTTGCTTTTAATCCAACATGGTGCCAATGGACTCAATCTTTTGGAAGCACAGCATGTGGTTCTTGTAGAGCCATTGCTCAATCCAGCTGCTGAAGCACAAGCAATCAGTCGTGTTCATCGGATTGGACAAAAAAATAAGACCCTCATTCATCGTTTTATTGTAAGCACTGTTATATCTCTCTCCCTATCCTTCATGTGGTAACTATTATCCATTTTATATTGTTGTCGTAAAAATTCAACACATGAACTGTTCTTATAGTTTCATTCTTGTATCTATCAGGTCAAAGACACAGTTGAAGAGAGTCTATATAAATTGAACAGAAGCAGGAGCAATCATTCATTTATCAGTGGAAACACTAAAAATCAAGATCAACCTGTTTTGACCCTGAAGGATGTGGAAGCCTTGCTGTCTAGAGCACCTCTTACAATGCCAGAAAGTGAAGAAAATCCTAGCACAAACACAAATCTAAGACACTTGCCACCATCAGTAGCCGCTGCTATAGCTGCTGAGAAGAGACTTAATGAACAAAGGACATGATTTTGCTTCTCTCTTTGTTCCATAGATGGGTTGCAGTGCATTTCAAAGATGCCACTAAACACAAATGCAGTAATTTCAAGAGGCAAGAGGATATGCAATGCAATAATCTGTCAGCTGTAGATTCTTCCAACCAAAATTCTGTCTTATATTTATAAATTTATTTATTCTTGTACATAATTTTAGTGTATTAAGGTTTTAAGTGTTTAGTAGAGATCTGTAAAATATATATTAATCCTGTAGTACCTTTGTTACTCTCTCCATGTAAACTTCGTACACCCAAAATTGCGTCCCACTAATTAATTGACAAACTGTTTTATTTATTTTAGTCTTGCCAGCTAGTGTCTGAACAATCAGTGAAATGGGAAAATAAATAATAGAAATTATGAAATAGTGTTTTGGAAATCATGCAAGCTTTGTTACGTATTTTAAAAAAAAATTAGTTCGTTGATTTAGAAACAATACAGAAGGTACCGTTTGTAACTTTTTTTAATTGAATTTAAGTTTCACCATCATAATTTGCCTAATTTTTAGTACAATTTTTTATTAAGTAAATTATTGAAGTAAAACGGGCAGATAATTAAGAATATTGATAATATTAATTTTCTAAACAATCACTTTCTAGAGAAAAATAAAACTTATTTAGATGATATCTATGCTAAGTTAATGACATCTGATTATAGAAGTACTTTGTTATAGCAAAAGAAATTTGTTAATGTAAAACTCTAATTTTAATTGAGACACAATAACATCAATATTTAAAATATTGTATCTTTCAACTTTTTTATTTAAATAATTCAGTCACCTGCAAGAAAATTGTAGTACATTACACTTATTTAAAAAAAAAAGGGAAAGAAACAACTTTTGGCAGACAAATTAGGAGGACATTTTGTAACAGATTGTGTTATTTGTGTTACATGAAGTTTAAACACGTGAATGTTGTTGAGAGGGCCTCAAAAAATCTGGAAAGCCCTGTTACTATTCTAGAAAGATGCCATCTGTGTACCTTAACCACACGTGTCACCGTTTCCTCTGCTTCAAACCCTCTTATATACAGATATAGTATCCCATCACGAACATTCATACATAATCCATCCAAAGTTTGGACATGATAGGGTCTTTGTATGTTGCTGATTCCCTCAAGATCTCTTCTCTTTCTATCAGTAACTCCTATAACCCTGCTATTCCATGTCAAACCCTTGTCTCTTCAAATAAAGTGACACCGCCATCAGTTACCATGGCCAGAGATTTGAGCTTCAAGGTCAGCACTTCTTCTCAGAGCCATGCTTCTTTTGTGGTGCAACGGAAAGAGAATAATAATGGGGATAATGGGTTTGTAGTAGGGTGTGCAAAATGGGGTTTGCAGAGAGAAGCGGAAGATGAGATGAAACCGCATGAAGATGATGACAAGGGTAGGAATGGAATGACAAGGTTTAGACATAACTGTGGAGAAGGAGAGGGGATTGCAGAGCTGTTGGAGTGTTTAGAAAGGGAAGCTATAATGGGTGAAGATGTGGGAAAAGATCCTACTGATTACAACAGAAGGGCTAAGATATTTGATAGAAGCTCTCAAGTATTCCAAGCTCTCAAAAAACATAAAAGTGATGGTTTCCCACAAGAGTCTTCTTAATAACAGGAAGTAGCTTTGTTATCGTTTTGACTCCATACTTGTATTTGAAATAAACTAGTGTCCCATCGTATTGTATCAAAGAATTTGGTTGATTAGATACACAAATGAATTTCATAGGACTCAGACCTTCTCTTTATCTTCATCATATGTTGTGTCTTTATTTGCTCATTCAATGTTGAGATACCAGCCTACATTCAAGTGAAATGAAACTGAAACCGAAACCTGAGAACATTGACAGTTTAATTTGAATACACTACTTAGTATGTAGAAATTGTCAAGTAATCCGTTACGTCGATTATATATCAAAATTAAGTTATATTACCTAGTGCAAAATTTTTATAGGATAGTGAATTGGTATATAAAATTAGTGGTTTCACAACATTTTACTAAGTAACAGAGTAAAGATTGCAAAGAACAAAATTTTCTAGCCTTGCTATAGTGTTACAACAATACACACACATCGAATGTCAAGAAAGGGGCGTACAAGACAGACACCAAATGATTTGTATGGAAGGAATCATATTTAAGAGTTGATACATCTATAGTTTCATGCACTCCAAATAAATTCAAGGGGCAGAAGAGTAGGACAAACAATCGTTCAAAATGGATGGGAAAGAAGCGATCTCATCTTTCCTGGTCCGACTGAGTAGTTAAATAGAACGTGAAAGCTGGTTTGGATTCCTGCTAAGACTTTCCGGTTCTTGAGTAGTTGGGCGGCGGCCCTTGTCTGGACCACCTATGATTCCCCATCTCTCAAATTGTCTTTGTCGAGCTCGAGCTCTCTCCTTCTCTTCATCAGATTTCAGTGCAAAACAGTGAGGACAGGAAACTCCATATTCAAATTCTGGGGCCTCCATGTCAGCATCACTCACAGGCTGTTTACAGCCATAGCAGAGTTTGAAATTTCCTGGCACCAAGCCATGCTCCACAGAGACTCGTTTGTCGAAAACAAAGCATTCCCCTTCCCAGAGGCTTTCTGTTTCTGGAACCTCTTCAAGATATTTTAAAATTCCACCTTCCAGGTGATAAACCTGGGATGTTTTGGAATAGAAAGATGACGAAATCATTATATTATATGACAGTAATTAAATTGAATCTAGAGCTAGTAAAGCTCATATTCAAAGTAGCGGTAATACCACTATTACTTGTTAATCAAATATCAAAACAAAGTCTGTATATGTTAAAAAGGTGGTAATTTGGATCACATAGTAAACTAATTCCTGAGAAAATAACGCGGCATATCTATGACATCTGCTTGTTTGGTCACAACAGGGTATTCATGGAGTTTAGAGTTCAAATCATTGATAAGCTCCACTACCTCAAGACAGTGGGTTTTGCACACAATCTCGTCATAATGCCTTACAATGGAAAGGAATAATGGGCCCGAAAATAGTGTGGTTACATGGATGGGCATCTATCCCTGCTTTTAGCAATTCTTTAAAGTTTCCATTCAAGTATAAAAAATATTAGAGGTACAACAGAAAAGTACGTCACAATCATTTCAGTTTAACAAAAATGTATTACTTTGTTAGAAAACAGACTTTTATTATGAACATAATTAAGACCTGACAAATATCTTCCATCCCAACATTCACAAGAATTGCATAAGCTTATGATATGAAAGACTAAAACCTATTGGTGATTTGACAACATTTCAAACATAAATAAGATTAACATCGATTCTTTACTTTACCTTTTTGAAAGGTTTTGATATTGATATGTTCCAAACCGAATCAGGAATCCCTAGATATCATATTGGGTCTGTTTATATAAACTTTTTAAGAAAAAAAATGTTTTTTAAATAAAATAATTACTTATTATGACTTTATCATATTTGGATAAATTTACTTTAAAAAACAATAAAAAAAAAGAATGTTTTTATTTGAAACAATTTGGAGTTAATTTGAGGTAAAAGAGAGAAGATAAAGAAGAATACATTTACCGTACACAAACATATCAATTTCTGCTGATATAAAAATCACTTTAAATGACTTTTTTTAGCATAAACAAACACACTCACGATCAAGAATTATCAAATGAAAATTATGTTAATTATTGTCAGATAAAAGATGAACAAAAGGTCAAACGACGTTTCATAACTCAACAATTTTGTTTAAACCAATCAGTAACGTTTAAGAGAGAATCACCTCTTTGAAACCTTTGCTGAGAAGTAGACTTGTAGCTTTCTCACAACGAATACCTCCAGTGCAATACATTGCAACGCGTGGCATATGTTGTTTTTGATTCTCCATTTCTTTTTCAGCAGGTTGGACTGAATTGTTTACCTCAACTTTTGGATTCTTACCATCGTCTGTTTCGCTAAGCTGGAAACGCTCCTCTACCCAAGACGGGAATTCACGAAATGATGTAGTACATGGATCAACTGCTCCTTTAAACTTTCCGATTCTGGTTTCATAGTTATTCCGCACATCAATAACCACCTATGGATGAGAATGTTAACAAAAATGAAAATTAACATTACGGCATGTACAATAGCAATAACATGTCTTATACTTCGCAACTTGCTAGATGAAATTAACTACTGCAGTTTTCGGGATTATCTAAACTTTTATCTAACTGCACAACACAAACAATTTGCAATCCTAACATGCAGAGGTTACAAACAGAAATTACAACTTTGTAGAAGTAAAAATTCTACAAATTATCCGCATATTCTTTTAAAAATAAATGAAGATAACCATAAATATAATATTTTAAAACTCCATTTAAATTTGTTTGAATATTACAATACCTTTTTAGTTATAAAACCCATAGTTTAACTTTAAAGCCGAATTTAGACTTGCCTCCAGCAATGGAAAACAACCAGATATTTAATATATTCAATGTTGGAGCAGCTTGATTCAATATTCTCAAGAAATTTAAGCTGTACATTTTAATAAATTAAGTCCTCATAGCTTATAAGATCAAATTACAGACAAATTCTCACAATGCAGATATGAGAACGATGATAATAAGGAGTTAGCAACTCACTGTATCTGGATCATTGATCAAAGCATTCCAATCTTCTGGGCCAACATATTTTCCAACTCTTTCAATAGGTGATACAGTAGGCATCCCAAGAGTAACAATCTGTAAACATGCAGCAAAAACAAAACTCTATAAGTTATTTGCATACAGTATCCAAGTTAAAGTCAACAAAGGAGTTCATTCTTTGGTTTTGCAAACACACCTCTTTCTTCAACTTGACCCTCACATGATCCCATCGGAAGGGCGCATCTTCCCCAGCAGCAAGAGGAGAAGCAGCACTATGACCATGATGGATGGCCTCCTCCTCAGGACCAACAGGTGATTCCACTCGCCTTAGTCCCTTCAATCGATCATCACCTTGGACAAATGCCAGAACAGCCTCAACTGACTCCCGAGTTCCACAGATGCTGCCATTGATCCCTTCAGGCGCAAGAATAATTCCACCTGAAACACGCTGAGTAGCATCAGATGGGTGAGACACCGCATCTCAACAAAACCAAGTAAACAATTTACATAAAACTCGTTGTATTGAACATTACACCACTGACATACTCCCAAATACAAAAGGGGTAAAGGTTCTGTATTATTAACTAACTCTACCTGACTAACTAATTCTGATATGAAGTTGATGTAACACTTCTATGAAAATATCAAGTATGACACTTCATGTCAAATTAACTCCCATGCTATAGAATATCATATTCAAATGAGTGACTACTTTCCTTAATCTTTCAATAAGAGGTTCTTAATATTCTCCCATTTCTCTCTTTTGGACACAATACTCACATAACAGTCAAAAAGCTTCTCTCACAACCATCTCAAACTAACATTTATTTTTGTATAGTTGAGCATGTTAACTGTCCATTCCTTTTAATCCATCATTTTATTTACGTACATAAATTAATTTTAACATTTTTTTAAATTGTTTAGTTAAAAAAATACATGGAAACTGCAGTTAAGGTCTGCTTATTAAGAAAACCTCATAGGAAAGTTTAGATAAATATAAATTTATCTAGAAACGGTTGTTAGAAAATAAAATAAGGTAAAATGAATTCAGCTTCTTACATAAGCTAAAATCAATTTGCCTACATCTTATACATATTTGGACAAACTTCTCGACAGGTATTTCCAAGAGAAAATGAAATGAATTTCTAAGTTAATCTGTACAATTTCTTTCATATTTCTTTTTGCATTATAACTTGCATATAAGTTAATCTGTTTAGCTTATGAAAAAACTAAACTTCATTCTTCTTTGGTTCTTATTTTTCTTTCCTAAAAGTGCTAATAAAGAAGTTTGTCCAAAGATACCCATACATAGTCCTCGTCTGAGGTGATCTCGCATAATTTATAATCACCGTGCACTCCTACCGGCACTCCAAGCTTAATAATAAGATTTGTAGAAACACGTTTCTATTAACTTTCAAAAGATAAATGAATAGTTTATTTAAGCTAATACATGGCACCAACGCATTTTACCTTTTGATTTTCTTCTCTGAACAAGTTTATCTTAAGTCTAAACAAGTACTCCCAAAGAATTTATGCAGAAAGGAAATAGTTGACCATCAAAACAAAGTAGCGTATATATTTTGTTCCCCTAATCCGCTAAGAGTGAACAGAGAAAGTGAGTACCAGGCGTTGACAGAGTTGCTTCAAGGGGCTTCGCATGAGAGCATGATCGGGAAAATCCGCAAATTTGTAGAAGGAAACCACCACGAGAGGGGAATCGGGTTCGGGTTCGGATCCGGGTGGGTCCGGAATGGGGACGGTGGGCCCAATGTGAGAGAAGCACTTGGAGAGCGTCATGGTTTGAAGAGTGTGAGAATTGGAGAAGAGAGAAAAACTGTGGAACGAGGGTTTCGGGGTTCCAGAACACGATAGTGTGGCTTCCGAGGGGGTAACGGAGGGTGACAGTAACGGTGACTGTGACGGTGATGGAAGCCTTGCACTGAGGGCGAGTAATGGTGGAAGAGGAGGTATTATGGTTCTGCTTCTCAGCATGGAAGCCGCGTTTGGATATGCTTCCATTTCGGTTATTTTGTATGTAAAATGAACCAAGCCAAGCTTTTCAACCCAAAAATACGACTCGGGTCCCCGCCCGGGCCCAAGAATATTTCTCTACATGGGGTTTT